GGGTGGGCGAGAGAAGCCATGGGGGAGGGCGCAGGTGAGAGAGAGTGTGGTGGTGTGGGTGTGGGTCTCCCTCTCTTCTTCCTCACAGTTTGGCGGGGGCCTTGAACCCTCCTTCCCTGTAGCCCCTTGCAGGCTGGAGCCCCTCGTCTGCTCTCACTTCACTCTGTGACTCCTTCCTGGCCATCTCCCAGGTGCTGGGGGACCTTATGGCTTCTTAGGTGTTGTCCCGGGTTCCATTCCTGCGTCTGCCCATGTTCTAGTCCTCTCTCCCCATGTCCGTGTTGTCGGGCCAAGTACTCCCACTTCAAAGGCAGACAGTGCTGGGGAAGCTCACCGAGTGAGTCAGCCTGGGAGATGATTACCAGAGTTCAGGTTGCTCAGAGCTGATGACAGAAGCGGCCCTGGCCAAGCGCGGGTGAGCCAGACACTGTGCTGTGGAGCTGCCACTTCGACTTCCCAGAACAGACACCTACCTGCAGGGGCACCTCAGCTCTGTCACTCACTGCTCCAGGCCCCTTTTAGATGGACAATGACCCTCTGCGTTAGGATATGTGGGTCTGGGTGTGTTAACCTGTGACCATGGCAGTGCCATTCCCCTCTCTGAGCTCAGGTGCCGGAACCAGACTGTCAGGGGTTGTAGCCTGTGCCTCTGTTCCCTCATCTGTAAAGTGGGGGGTACCAACATCACCTACACTATTGGGTGGTTATAAAGATTGTACTCAGTGAATATGCACGAAGCCCCTAGAACAGTGTCGGCACTGAGTAAACTCTGTAGGACATTAGCTTTTAGTATTATTGTGGTTATTATGATTATTTCTGCTCTTCTCTCTAAAGTGTGGAATGGTGCCGAAAGATCTCAAAGGTCCTTCCTTCTCTTCCTGTCCTGCTAGGGATGTCCCCTTGTTGTGTGGCCTTGGGCAAGACACGTGGTTCTGGGGCCCCAGGTCCTCATCTTCTAAATGAGGTGCTGGGACTCCAGCCCTGAGAGTCTGTGAATTTATTTAAAAAGGATTAGGCAACTCCCAGGGAGGGGTCAGCTTGTTATCTCGGCCTCTCCTGGGGATGCTGCTGAGATAAGCAGTTAAGTAATCAGAATAACAGTTTATATTTGTAGCCGGCTTTTAATTCTCCCATCCACTGAACTTACCAGGGTGCACCTAGCCTCGATTGCTTCATTATATGGTCACTACAGCCCCAGGAGACACTGCCTCTGTTCTGGAGACGATGCAGCCTGTCCAAGGACACACACACATCCAGGAAATGGTGAACGCAGATCCACACCAGCAATCCTGATTTATGAAGTACAAACCTGACTCCCACACTATGCTGGCAGTTGGCCTTGAACTCGACTTTTAATCCTATGACGGTAACACGATACAGTGCCATCTTTCAACGGACTGCTCATAAAATTAATCGAAACCACAGATTCTCATCACTGGGAGATAATGTAGGAGTCATCTCCAGGGTGTCTTAACTTTGGGGAGGGTCACAGATTCCTGTGAAAAACTGAAAGAAGCTATCTACGGACTCTTGCTAGAAAAGTTCACACCATATCCACACATAAAGATATGCACAGATTTGTCTCAGTTTCAGAGGCTTCAAACATCTCTGGCTAAGAGCTCACACAGTGCTTGCTATGTTCTTTTGAAACTCCCAGGTGAGTATTTATCTTTGTTCCAACTGAGCATTGAGGGGAACCTCTCACCCAAAGGGCCCTTCATTTCATTAATATTTACCTCTGATCGTCAGAAAGCTGCTCCTTCAACACAATTGACATTGGTTTTCTCCTAACTTTGGTCTCAACTTTGCCTGTGAGATGTAATATTGTATCAGTCCAATCTACCTTACCATGACAATTCTTCAAGTTCCTGAAGATGCTGGTTAAACTCTCTCTAGTACCTTCCAGGCTGGAGGCCTCTTCCCCTCACTGATCGGTTCATTTTCCCCTGGACACACTCATTTGTCAGTGGCTCTCTCAAACACCCAGAGCTGATGTACAGCCCAGAACCCAGTACAATCTTCTGGCCATGGTTCACTGGTACTGTGCAAGATTCCCACTTTGTTTGGGATATAAGATCTCTACTTATATGTCCTTAGAGTGGATTAGATTTTTGAAACTTTATTCTACTTCAAAATGTGACACATATATAGAGAATTGTACAGTGCAAAAAAATGCAGTTCAAGGAGCTATCACAAAGCAAGCATCCACATTACTACCACCCAAGTCAAGAGCTATAACAGCCATACCTGTTTCATCCCTGGGACCTCTCCCTCCTCCTCCACAAAGTAATTTCCACTCTTGTTTGGTGATAATTTTCCTGCTTTTCTTTAAAGTTTTATCATCTAAATATGTATCCCATTTAACACTTTTGTTTAGTTTCCCTAGTTTTAAAATTTTTTATAAATGGAGTCATATAAATAGGCATTCCTTTGTACCTGACTTATTTTACTCAATGGTGTGTTTGTGTGAGATTCATGCATGTTGTTACATAAGGCCATAGTTCATTCATTTTCATTGTTGGGAATTTTCCATTTTTTGAATACACTGTGATTTACTTATCTATCCTGTTATTAATGGACAGGTAGGCTGTGTCCACATTTTGGCAATTAGGAACGAACTACCATAAACACTGGTGTGCACATTCATGCATTTAGGCTGGATATACATAGAAGAATTTCTGTGTAACTTCAACTTAGTGGAGAATATCAAGCTGTATTCCAAACCAGTTGTACTGATTCACACTTTCACTAGCTGTGTGTGTGTGTTCCAACTGTTCCATGTCCTTGCCAACACTTAGTATTATTAATCTTTTTTAATTTGAGCTCTTCTGGTGATTTTATAGTGGTGTCTCATTGTGCTCTTAATTTGCATTTCCCTAATGCCACTGAGCCCATTTTCATCTATTCATTGAGTATTTATGGATTAGAGGTTTGGACAACTCCTTACTCATCTGACTCATACTGAACTTGTTGCCAAATGAAATAAAGTCACTGACAGATAATACTGTTAGTCATTCTCCCTTATTGACATCAGTTGGATTTTGGGTCCCCAGAGCAGGTCTGAACATTCTTAATAATAATAATAGCTAATATTTATTGAGTTTCCACTGTGTTCTAGGCACTGAACTATGTGCTTGAAATGCATAATGTCCCTTAATCCTCACAACCAGTTTATGACTTTGATACTATTATTACCTTCATTTTATATAAGAAGAAACTAAGGTGGGGGAGGCTAAGTAAGCTTACCTAAGGTCTCATAACTAAAAGGTGGTGTAACCTAGATTCCAATCGACACCCTTAGCAAGTACACATACAGCTTCCCAAATATGGAAACATTCGAATACATTTTTAAAAGACCGCTTGAAATGTTTAAAAACTGTACAATACAATGGACATTTAACTGTCAAATGGAGAAAAATAACTGCAAAATATGACAAAGGATTGTGCTTAATATATGAAGAGTTTCTAAAAATGCATCAAAGGACAAACATCTCAGTATAAAAATAGACAAAGGTTTTGAGGAAGGTAAGTCTGGGAAATGCTGCACACTTTTTCTTTTACCCCTACACTATATGAGAACAAATTTTTGACTCCACAAATTCCATACTACTCAAGTTCCATACTAAAAACACTTTAACACAGAGTCTTCCCAACCAGTTGGGCCAAAATAGCCTATAACATCTTGATTAATTGTAATTCCTTGTAACAGGCTTTGAAATATGCTGAGCTCCATCACAGCCACTGCTTCCTATAATTACTAGTCTGGTAAAACTTTCAACAAAGAAAATGAAATAAGTTTTGTCCAGGGTTTTTCAACCTTGACACTATTGACATGATGGGCTGAGTAATTCTTTGTTCTGGGTCAGCGGTGTCCTTGGCCTCCACCTGGTAGGTGCCAGTCGCCAGAAATACCTCCCCCATCCCAGCTGTGACAACCCAAATTACCTGCAGACATGGCCAACTGCCCCCTGGGGTGCAGATCCCCTCTGTCCCTGAGCGATAACCATTGGTCTAGCTTGACTGGTTTCTAGAGAACTCATGACACTTCCCATGATTACCTCCTACCCTGTCCAAGTGTGCCCCAAACTGCAGTGTGTCTCACTATATTTTTATTTCTGTGCCTTGTGACATTCACTGTTCTTTGTTTTGATATAGGAGGATGTTGGTCCATCTCTTATCTTTGAGTCTTTCTTGTTTGTTGGAATTCTTTACATCTTCAGGCACACCAAACCACACACAGTCCGCCTGACACAGAACTTCCTTCCATCTTCCTATCCTCGAGGTGGAGAGGAGCTCTTCCCTTCAGTCTCCACATTTACTGCATGGTCTTCTGTCAGACCCCCGACAAACAAAATTAATATTCATCCTTTGATACTCAACGTGGAGTAGGTACCAATTAATACATATAAACAAAGGAGCAAAATATAATTGAGGATGGGTCAGAATTTCATGCATGAGGTCCTAGTGGATTTCCAGCAACCCTGAGGTCATCAACAAACTTTACCAGTGTCTTCCTAGGAATGAATGCCCTCCTTGCTTGCCTCCAGGCAGACAATCTTCCTTCTCAAAAGAAGGCAGAAGTACTGTGGGAAGGTACCAATTCTGTTTTTTTTCCTCTCAGCTGTGAGTATGACACCGTCTGCTCAGTCGGCACATCCAGGCTGTTCCTGGTGGTTTCCTCATTTCAAACACAAGGAGAAAAACCCTTTTCCCTTGATGTCAGAGCTTTTGCAGACCTCAGTTTATTCTGCTCAGTGACAATTTTTACCCTTGGAGATGAGTTTTCCTTTCCAAGTTTTGGGAGTCCCTTTTTGGCCTGCGTTTTGCAGAGGCACCCTCCACCCCCTTTGAGCACTGTGTGCGTCTCTTGAAGTATTTCCTTCTTTTTATTTCCTGTCTGAGATTATTTTAAGCTTTCAAAACAGAACTTAGTTCTTGGGAACCCTCTAACTTTACCAGAGTTGTCCAAGATGGTGGCAAGGGTGGAAAGAAAGGGACAGTTTGAGAAACATTAACAAAGGAAAAGTGATGACACTTGGTGACCACTTGGACATGGAGGAGGGCCCGTGACTTCTAGATTTCTGTTTCAGGACAGTGAAGGCAGTGGTGGCTCCTGCTGCAGAGGTGATCACGGGAGGAGGAGAACGGAGATGAGGAGGGGGAGGAGGCGGTCTGGGAGGCGATGGGGGTGGTCTGGGACAGTCAGAGGCCCATGTTTCCCTGGGACACGTGGTGGAGCTGTAGGGGCAGTAAGTGCACATGAGAGCCTGAAGCTCTAGACGGAGATGTGTTTGGGGCCTGCCGGCACCGGAGCTGGGACAGCACGTGAGCACTGGGACATGATCAGGGATCGGTGTGTGCTGACACAGAGACGCATTAAGGAAGGTGCAGGAAGAAAAGGACTAAGGAGACTGAAGGAGTGGTTGGAGAGAGAGGAGGGCCAGGAGAGGGGCATGGACAGGAGCCCCCTGGAGAGAGTTCCCGGACAGAAGGGATGGCCAGCAGCTTGCAATGATATAGAGATCAGTTCAGATACGGACAGAAAAGGGCCTGCTGAACTGGCAGCAGAGGGTCGTTTCAGACTCCGGAGAGGGCAGCAGCCTCAGCACTGTAGACCAGCAGAGTGGAGGGGGCTGTAGCCAGGAAGCCGGGGTTGGGGAGAGGTTGGAAGATAGGAACAGACAAAGGGTGGTGTCCAAAGAGGGATTCACTAATTCATCCACTCAACCAACAAGCTGAGAGGCTGCGGTGCCCCACGGGCCATTCTGGGTCCAGGGATGCAACAGCGGAAAATAGGCAAAAACTCCTGCCCTCTAGATAGGCACTTTTTAGGAAGGCAGAATTTTAGAGGGAGGTTTCATGATAAAGATGGTTATTAGAATTATCATCACTTGGCAGATGAAGAGACCAGGAGGTTAGCTGGTAACTTGCTCAAGTTCACACAGATGTCATTGCTGCGGGTCATGCTCTGACCTGACCCTTTGCATTCTTTGCTGTGGAAGGGGATGGAGGATAGGTGGGAAGAGATGATACAAAGCATAACTGGGTGGAGAGGACAAAGGTGAAAGGGGCAGGATTACTCATGGCTGGGCTGGGCCTGCTCAGCGCGAGTAATCTGCTTGCTCCCGCAGTCCTTCATCCAGGACACCCTGCGTTGGGCCTCGTGCTTAGGCTCAGGTCCTTCCAGTGGCGACGACAGGCACTGAGAGCCACACGTTCTCATTTGGTTTTATTTGAGCCAGAGGCTTGAGAGGTGACCTGTGGTAGCACCCAACACTTTCCCACACTCCTGTCTCTCTTACTGAAGAGTAAATCTCCCTTTCCTGTGAGTGGCCTGATCCACATGGTTTAAACAGGGTTGAATACATCTCCCTGTCTGCTTGTTGGGGTATTGGCACAGGAACCCATGAAGGGATCAATGTCCCTTCATGATTTTATAGAGAGAGGCTGCAAAGACAAAGGGTCTTTCTTCTACTGGGACAGACAGCTTAGGGACCACAGTGGGCCACCCACAGCCACCTTGACTATCTGAAGACAACAGCAAGTAGAGATGAACAGAGTCAAGAGCTATAGGAGACTGAGCTCTGAGGACACCATTTGAGCTCCTGGATCCAGCTGTGCCTGAATCTATCAAAAACTCTCCCAGACTTCCTGGTGGGTTGAAGCAATGAATTATCTTTTGCCTCCTAGTTTGAGTTGAGTTTCTACACTTGCAACTGAAAAAAATCTGATCACTATAATTTGTCAGAATATGTCAATTGTGACTATGTAAAACATATTATTTACTTTTGCAGAAGCTAACTGACTCCAGCAGCTTCCTCCATGGAGCCATATGTGTCTACCTCCTTCTAGGTGCTAGCCCTGCAGCTGATAAAGAGGTAAGTAAGACACGAGCTTATAGTGTAGATATGGAGATGATGACAGGCACAAAGAATCACCAGCTTTAAAATGCTTTCCATCCATTTCTCTGAATCCACAATCTTAGGAAACAATTAACTAGCAATTCCAAGTAGGGTTCAGCAAGATGGAAATAGAGCTGGAGAGGTGTTCCATGCTAGGGAGCTTGGAGGAAGATGGGTTGGGGGGAAGGCAGTGCATCTTAGGCTCCTCTAGTACTCTGTTCTGGGTGGCTGGGCTAAGGTGGGGCTGGTAGGGGACAAAGAGAGGGGAACAGACGGTCTGGGGAAGCCATGTGAGCATTAACGTGAGCATTTTCATACCTTTCCCATTCCAGCATGGGCATGTCCCAGCTTGACCACCACAGGGAAGTGAGGGGCTGTGAGCTGGAAGAGACAAGAGGGAAATCATTCGTTAGCATTCTGGAGTGTCCCACCAAAACTGCCCCTTCAGCAGAAAGAGTTGGTCATCTGGTATCACTGGGAATCCCCACAGGGATCCTTGGACAGATGGGCATCCACTGAGGCTCAAACACCAGGGCTTTTGGTTTCCCGAGGAGGCTTAGAACTAGCCTGCCTGTGCATCCACCAGGGTGGAGAGATGGTAAGGCAGAGCAAAGCAACTGGTTCCAATCCTGGCTTTACCACTTGTGCAAACTCAGGTCAGCTACCATGTGGATCTGTGCCTCAGTTTCCTCATCTGTAAAATGGGGATGACGAGCAACCATCTCACAGGGCTGCTATGAGGATTGAATGAGTTACTGTGTGAAGCCTTCACACGGTGAGAACTCAGTGAAGGGCAGCTTCTTTACGCCTGTCACAGCTCTGCCTTAAACTATCCTCCCAGCAACTGTCAAGTATCTGGAACCTCATTCCGTCCCCCAAGCCCTGTCCAGGCCACCCTATGAATTTCTTAATGCTAGTGGTCCCATCCAGCATGGACACAGGCATTTATTGGCCACAGTGTGTCAGACACCATGCTGAGCAACCGCCCTGTAGGATCTCCTTTAGAGGGAACAGCCTTGTCTGGTTGCTTCCCTGCAGCACCCCAGCTCCGAGAACACCGCCCGACCCAGGGATGTGAACCTGTGCCTCAGTCGGTCCACTCAGCAACATCTACCAGGCCTGCATGCTCCTCATGAACCCAGGAGGAGAGGAGGTCAAGGCCGTGCTGGTCTATGCTCATGGTCACTCAGCAAGGACACGAGGGGACCAGGTTCAAACCTAGGCCGTGCATTCGCTCCTCAGGCTCTTCATGCTGTTTGAGGTGGGTATGCTTGGCACCCGGAAGTATATTTGAAATTTGTTGAGGACAAAGGTTATCCCTTTTAGTTGTTTAGTAATAACATCATTTCATCCACTTGGATCAGCCCCAGCCGGGGGCCGTGATGTCCCACTTGCTATGCTGCACAGGTATCTGTTCTGGTGCCTGGACTGACCCCGACAGTGCTGCCTGCCCTGACTCTCTGGGCGCCTTGAGAGGAGGAGACCAGCTCTGCCCTCTTGGTGCCTGGAGCCTGGCTGAAGGTGGACGAGCTGCTGCAGCTGCTCCGAGGGTCTGCTGGGGTCACAGAGCCATTCGATGGACCTCATCTCATTTAGCCCCCACAATGGCTCCAAGAAGCAAGCAGGGGAGGTGTTTTTATTGCCACTTCACAGATTGGAAAATTGAGACCCAAGGCAGCTGCTAAGAAGGCTAGAACTGGGACTTGAACTTGGGTCTGTCAGACCCTGAGACTCATGTGAATGGTTTCCCCTAAGGTCTAGCATAGCGCTTCCTGCAGTGGATGCTGAATAAAAAATTTTCCTCCTTCTTCAGGCTATGATTACCATGTCCTGTATCTAGAGTGAACAAATGCATCTTTAAAAAAGGGCAATATTTGATTTTGATTCCAAAAGCAATAGGTACTCACTTGAAAAATCTGGAAAACACAGTAATGTGCAATGCTGTTATGTATAAAGAAGACAATAAAAATGGCCCTTAGATCTTTAGCAGTTTTGTTGTGTTCTGTGCTAGTTTTCTTTCTGTAATCCATATTTGTTGCTTTTGATTTGTTGGGAAATTGGGAGTGTAGTGTTTATCTAGTTGTGTTTCCTGCTCTTTCCACTTAATGCTACATGATAAGATTTCCCAATGGCGGCTGTCTGTTTAACAGTTATTATGAAATATTTCACATAGGAGAAAAGACTGAAAGGGTAATATTATGGATATCACCTAGCTTAAGAAACAAACCACTGCCCCAATAGTTGAAGCCCCTGATATACTTCTTTCCTATCACACTCCCTGCCCCATCCCAGAGGGAATCATTATATGAATTCTGTGCTTGTTTTCTGTATTTATTTTTAGTAAATAATATGAATAAATGCAAATAAAATAATTAACTATTACATATGATTCCCCAGCATTATATATTATACATTTTGAAGCTTTATGTAAGTGGTAGCAAAAAAATATAGTCTTGTAAAACCTTTTTTTGGTACATTTGTGAGATTCATGTGCATTGATATATGCAGCTCAAATTCATTTTTTACTGCTGTGTAGTATTCTATTTTACAAACACATTAGCACTTGTCCATTTCTAGTTGATGAACATTTAGGCGATTTCTATTTTTCCAATTACAAACAACACCAGTACAAACATTCCTGGACATGTCCTGTCTGCATCTGTAGAGGAGTTTCTCCAGGGCACACGCACAGGAGAGGAACTGCAGGGGTGGGCAATGCTAGCTATTGCCCAGTGGCTCTCCAAAGTGGTTGCACCAACTTATGCTCTCAGGGGCAGGAAAGAGGTCCTAACACTTGAGGTTGAAAGACTTCAGTTTTACCAACCTGAGGAGTGTGAAATGGAATGAGTGGGTAGAGATTTTCACCAAGTGGCTTTTGTTCCCCAGCACAACTATCTCACCAGCCATCCATCATAGACCCTAGACACCTCCAGCCCTCTGAGAAATGCCCAGGTCACTACTGGGACTTCATCTCTATCTCAATTCAAGGCAGAGCTTGAGGTGAGGAGAAATGCATGGGTCTCTCTTCCCCTCCATCCTCCCCAAGCTGATCATTTCCCCATACATGGATGGGTACTGGAAGGAACAGGGATGTTGGAGTTAAACTTGCTCTCTGTTTCATCTTGGGCTAGATATTCACCCTCTCTGAACCTCAGTTCTCCTATCATCTGCAAAATGAGATGATAGCACTCAACTCACAGGATTGTTGGGGGAAGAAGAAATGAAATAAGGAGTGCAAAGCTGCTCGGCACTGAAAGCAGGTTCACACACAAAGTGTGCAGTGGATTCGAGGGGAGGAAGGAGGTAACTCTGGGGTTGTGGGGCAGGGGGAGCAACAGAGGGAGGCTGGATGTGGAGCAATGAGAGCAGAGGCTCCAGCTTGGCAGCATCTGAGAGCATGGGAGGAAGGGAGGTGAACCCAACAAAGGAAAATCAAGGGCTCTTCCAGAGGGAGAAATCAGAGGGATACAAAATTGGCAATTTTAATCTGCAAGAGCCTCAGCAATAATCTTGCCTAGCTCCCATGCTCGTGCAAGGTATATAGAATTTCTAGGAATGCTCCCTCAGACATCTCACCCTAATCTCGGAGCCTCTGAATGTGATGAGATTGTACCTCTCACAGTATGGTGCAGGTGACCTTAAAACAGAGAGATTATCTGGGAGGGCCTAATTTAATCACATGAGTCCTTAGAAGCAGGGAACTTCTCAGGCTGATGTCAGAAGAGGAAGGTGAAGAGATTCAAATCAAGAGAAAGACACCATTTCTGCTTTGAGATGGAGGTGGCCATGGGAGAAGGAATGTGGGCAAATTCCAGGAGCTGTAGGTGCCCCTGTCTGACAGCCAGCAAGGCCTCAAACCCACAGCTGCAAAGAAATGAACTTCTCCAATAACAAAAATGAGCTTGGAAGAGAATCTTGAGCTCCAGAAAGAATGTAGCATGCTGGCACCTTGATTTCGGCTTTATGAGACAAGCTGAGAACCTTGTCATGCCACCCTGGACTGCTGATCCGCAGAACTGTGAGTATTTTTTAAAGACGCTCAATTTGTTAGAGCAGCAATAGAAAATTAATACATGTGTCCTAGAAACCGAAGTCCAAAGAGTGAACTGAGAGTTTTCATGCCACAAATAGCAGAACCTGAAGTCAAGCTCGTGTTCTGACTCTCAGTCAAGCTCTCTATTTACCAACACACATTTCCCTGGAGATCATATGCATATATCTGGGGCGCAATAAATGCTTTCTCCTAGTCATAGTGACCAATAAAATAATATCTAATTAAATCAATGCATTGGGCACTGAGTGGTTAGCTCTGTGTTTTGTGCTGTGCAGGACGCACAGGGACTGAGACAAGATTTCTCATCTTAGACGGGCTGCACAGAGTAAGAGCAGAACAAGGCAGCCTGGTGGCAAGTCTGGGGTGGGTGGAGTCATGAGCAAGGCTCCATGGGAAAGGAAGTCTTTGCGGAGGACGCTGAGGGATGAGCAGGTTGTGGGTGGGTGGAGGGTGGGCTCAGCATTTCTCCAGGGGTGAATAGTGCAGAGTCCCGTGGTCTCCCACGGTGGGTGTTTGATTCTTCATGAGTTCTAATGAACAAAGACCCATAGGAAGGAGGGATTTATTTTATGATACTTGATAGGAGTTTATCTGCAATAAAACCATGTTGGACATGATGGCTACATAGAATGATATATTTGCACAGAGTGACTTTCTCTAATATCTTAAATAAAATTGGAGGAATATATTAATTGTCAGTCATAATGGGAATAGAAATTGTATTTAGATTTATAGGATGCAGAAAGTCAATCTAGAAAAGTCTGAGCTTTTGCAGAAAAGTACTTCAAAGAAAGTATTTTGACAAATTTTTTGAAGCAATGAATTTTCCTGATTCTAGGGGAAAGTTTCCTTTGCCATTTTTTACTTTCACGGGTTGAGAACGGCATTCTTTTTAGAACTGGCCAGCAAGGCTCTGGGCTGGTGTTTGGGAAAAGGAAAAGGCAATTTGGGGCTGGATTCCTGGGCACCTTCAAAGGGGATGTGAGAAGTATATGCTGCTCGGATGGGCCGTGGGGAAATAGCTCAGATCTGGAATAGGGGAGGGACCTGCCAGCTATGGGCAGGATGAACTGTATTTGTATAGTGACATATACAAAGCAGGTAGATGGTGGGAGAGGCGGAAGAGCCACAGACTAGTTGGGAATTGATTATAGCCAACACGGAAGGCCTGGACTGGAACAGGGGGTGGCGGACAGAGGGAACATCCCCAAGAGTTTTTCTTTTTCTTGGGAAAAAAGAATTGTTTAAAGCAACAGTTTTTAAATTGAAATATTGGTCTTAGAATGGCCACAGAAATTCAAAATGGGGATTGCCCATGACGTCAGCATCTAATCAGATCAGTGTATTATTGGTCTATATTACTTTATAATATTCATGTATAAGTCCAATAAAAAAGAGATTCTGCAATAATAGAAAGAGATAGAATTTTGCATGTGTCATCTCACTTAACATCACACCACGAGTCTGTTGCTATTTTTGCCACCATCTTTTTTCTTGCGTATCCCTCATCCACTCTCCAGCCCAGGTAACTGGCCTCACCTGCCTGCCCATCGCTCATCATACTCAATCTTTGCAAGCATGTCTACACATACATGGTTGAGATTGACATTTGTTTTTTTCAAAAATGTCTCTTTTCATTTCATCACACCATGCACACCCCCTTTCCCATGTCAATAGGTTTTAATAGGCTTTAAAAGTAACCCACTCGTTTATGGCTTCATAATATTCCACAGGACCCATGTGCTACAATCTCCAACCATTTTCCTACTAATGGACATTTGTGTAATTCTCTCTCTGCTACTACAAGCAAAAGACCACTAAATATTTTCGTACACATGTCCTTACAAATAAGTGTCTTAACTCCTAGAGGCCAGGCTAAGAGCTTTTCAAGGGGAGATTCAACAGAATTTGGAGACATTCAGATAGGTCCCTAAAGTCATTTGTTAGCTCAAGAAATGAAAGTGGGTGCATGGGATTGCATGCCGGGTGAGTCCACCCACCATATAATGTCCCAGGTTAATTGCAGCTACATTTTGTCAGTGTCCTTCAAGGGCCGGGAATGGTACTAGGCACTTCACGTCTGTTAGCCTTCCTCCCCTCCCCCCTGTGACAGATAAGAAATCAGAGGCAAGCCATTAGTCCAACGACAGTAAGGAATGGGAGAGCTGCTCTGCTGCCACTGATGTCCCCTCCCTAGCCGTCCCCTTTCCCTTCCCAAGCTGTGCAAATGGGTTTCAAAGGCCATTCCCATTTCCACTCATTTGCAACATGCCAGGCCCTCCCTGAACAGAGAGAGGTCACAGAAGACAAAAAACATCTTGTGGGCTATTTTCTCTCTTCCCTTCCCAATAATAGCTTTACTTAGTCCCCCTGGGGAGGGTGAGGCCTGCAGCATCCTCACAGGCTCCTGTTCCACCCCCTCTCACAGGCCCCGGATGCTCCAGGTTCAGTAGTGCCCACTGGCGTGAGAGGCCTGACATCCTGGTACAGGGGGCAGATCAGTTTGTCAAACCAGAGATCCCCACCCTGATAAGGGCCCTAGTCAAAAGTCTCCCAAGAAACCAGAATAAGTGGGGGTGGCCCAGTGCTCATGCTGGACACTCTCTTGGGGGGTTAGGATCAGACCAGTAGGAGCCGGTCAGTATTGCACCAACCCCCTCTTCAAGCCAGGGAACGGAGAGCTGGGACCTGAGTGGTCTGGGGCGGCTTGCCACTGGAGGGCTGCCTCTGTATTCAGGACTCCCTGGAGATTTAAGTATGTTCAGTGCCTGATCCAGGGAGAGAGCAAGGCCTGGAAGAGTGTGGAGGAGGAAATCAAGGGCCAAAGAAGTCTGGGAAATTTCAAGGAGAAGCTGGGGCTCCATCCTGTGCCTGCGGAGCTCCACCTGACCTGGCTCTTGCCAGATCTGTTTCC